TATTATAAGATATGTTTTTTCATAATAATTAATATTAAACTCATTTACAAATTTTAAGTGTGCAAGGATTATCCATAGACTTTTTATGGTATAATTTTTATGGATTTATGTGTTATTCAGTAAGTATTTTATAAATATTATTCTTATTGATCTTTAATAATTTTTTCTTCTTTGCTTGTTCTTGTAAAATTACTAGGTGTTCAATTTGACATTCTTCTTTTCTGAAGAAATTCAAAAAGAATATCGAGATAAAAATGGCAATAAAGACAATCTTGTTAGAGCAAATGATGTATTTTTTGCTTTACATGCTTTACTCCTGAGCACAATTACTCTAGTTCAATCTTTCATATATAAAGTAAGTATTTTAACAATAATCTATCTATTAATAATAATCTATAACAATAATAACTAATAAATAATAAAGAGAGATGCAGATCAAAAAATATCATGTACAGCATCAATGTTCATAAAACTTTCTTTGGTGATGATGATATTGGTTTTAATTGAAATATACTTTACTAAATTCCAATGGATTGATTTGATGTATTTTTTGAGTTACATTAAATTATCAATTAGTTTTATTAAATATGTTCCTCAGGTATTTTTTTTTTTTTTTTAATTAGGAAATAGAATTTTTTTTAAGTAATAAAAAAGCTTATTTTTTTTTATTTTAAAAAAGGCATTTTTAAATTTCAAAAGAAAATCAACTGTTGGATGGAGTATTCATAATATATTATTGGTAAACTTAATTATATATAATTAAGAACTATTATTGTTGTTATTGCTATTCATTTAGTTAATCAATCAATTAATTAATAATCCTGATTTCTTAAAACCCAAGGATTTTACTGGTGGTATTTTATCGAATTTTCAATTAATACTTGATGCTTATTTAACTAATAATTGGTCTGGTATAAAAGGAGTAAGTAATTATTTATTTAAAATTTTTGTGAATTAGAAAATTATTTTTATTGAAATCTTTAAAAATTTTCAAATCCAGGATTTTGTTAAATTGTAAGTATTATTATATCATTCACATCACATTATCATATTTACGTTATATAA